AGACGTAAGTGATCTATCTCATTTCTTAAAAATTGGTACCACATTAGCAACTTTCCATGACTAATGGTTCATTAAATACGGTAGACAGTGGCTTGCAAAGCTTCTCTTTGCATTCTTTAAGCACCCTGGCAAACACTTCGTCCAGCCCTGGGGATTTGTTTGGTTTGAGTTCCACTATTTGTTTAATAACATCCTCCCTGGTAACTGCTAAACTAGTCAACCTATCTTTGTCCTTACCCATATAGATTTGTTTGGCTGAAGGCATAGTGTTAAGTTCCTCTTTAGTAAATACAGAGATAAAATATTTATTAAAAATACTACTCATCTCTTCGTCATTATCTGTTATCTGACCTTCCTCAGTTTTTAATGGATCTATCCTTTCTCTAATCTTTGTTCGGTTAGGCACTATAGTGGTTTATAGATGATTTATCACCTGTCTAGGCAATAATAATAATCGTTAAATAAACATTGTCGGCTACCCTCCCCGAGAGAAGGGTTGAACCGGCTTGAACCTCATGTGCCCTGAGCATGGCCCATGGAGATAGTTTGTTTATGGACAGTGTAAACGTGTGTTGGTGTTCCGCAACCTTTATCGCGGGTAATAATCTGCACTAACTCATCTTATCTCTCCAGTCATAGCCCCGTAGACACTAAGGGAGTTCTGGATTTTATGTGTAGGGAAAAGTTCTCATTCTTTTCTCTGAATACGGGTGTAGGGTGGCTTGGAGTGACGCCGTCTCCCCCCTCTATATTACACCGGACCAACCAGGCTGTGGTGGGTATGTGGGCCTGCGAGCCGCTCCAAGCAACAGCCTAGTGGGCCAGACTCTCATAAGTCAAGCCTGGCCTCAGGCTGGGCTTGGGGAGTAAAAGAACTCCCAGAACCCTATCAACCAGGTAACACCTCATCTTCTCCTGCACACGCAACTCAGAACATACTCCACTAGCGATGCTCTCAGACTTACACGGCTAAGCTGTGTCATGCCACTATAGTGCCTATGCTCTACAGGCGAGATTGTACGGTCTGGTGACACTATCGGCCAGGCTCTGGTTCTCGATTTTTGGACGAATGTTAGGTATTGTTTGTGGTATGTTGATTGGCCGCATTGCGTGCATCTTAACGTAACCTTAATATGTTCATATATATATTGTTATTTGTTACACTGTGGGGCATAGTTCCAAATTTCAGGAACTTTTGCTTTACTTTTTCAGCGACTGCATCTTTTCTTGAGTGGACACTCATCCGTTGACCGTCATTCAGTGCCTGGCTACACCATTGTATATACATTAGACACTCTCTGTATATATATAGTTGATCTTTATTTATTTATTTAATTATACAATATACAAGAAGGTACATTGGATTTATTAGAGTACAGAGACTTGAAGTTTTACATTCTTGTAAAACCACTAGCACGAATAGCATTTCGGGCAGATAAACATTACCTTGTACATTATTGATTAATTGTAATTTATGTTAGCAATTGTTACCAAAGTCATTTTAGTTCATCATATTGATTATACTCTATTGTCCCTAGCTGCCGGTATATGGGCCATATTTAAGGTATTTTCATTGTATTTTTACGTATTTTCTACCTCTATGCTACACACTCTTGTGTATATTAGTATGTGCATATTGGCTATACTAATGATAGTGCTAGGCTGGACTATGTACATGTTCAGTTCCCTGATTTTGAACTGACCAGTGTTCAGTTATAGCACTGAGTTCTTTCATCTTCTTGTATCACACTACCAGCTGCTGTGTTGTAATGTCTGCAGGTAGATGTCTATTTCCATTCACCCACTCTTGCCCCCTACAGTTAATTTTCATTGGGACGGGGGGAGCTAGGAATTATGGCCCTCGCTACGGGGTTATCTTTGTGTGAGTTTTCCATACAGGACTTTTTATTTTAGTGCAGTACACGTCCTAAGTAGTAGTACTCATACCTTCATCAGCAGTGCGTGCGTCGTTCTACCCTGCTGGGACTGGTTGCGCCATTCCTGTGAGATGTGCTGTCACTATTTTCGCTTCACGTCTTGCGTGTTGGCTCGTGATGCTCACTTCCTCATTGGCCTCTGCCTGGGCCCTGGCTCTTTGGTTTTCTTCTCCAATTTGTCCTTGCTGTTTGCGTGGTCTGTGGTTGGGCTGTTTCTGCAAGAGGCGGCTTGTCGTTGTCGTCTGTTATCGGCCTTGTTGGTCCTTCAGGGGTCCCGGGGCGGGTTCCTTCCGGACAGGGTATGTCTGCTTACACGGGTTGGTTCTTCCCGGCTCGCAGGTTTTGGGTTCCTGGTGTCCTAGCAGACGTTCCATCTGGTTCCCTGACAGCCTTGGTTTCAGGCGCTGCTTGCTTAGTGTTCGTACCCAGGGTTTTTTTCCCATGGATCCGCCTCTTTCAGATGCTCAGTCTAGTCCGTTACGGGGCCAGTTTGGTCTTTTCCTAGAGTCTTCGCATCTGGTGATTTTGTTTCAAGTCTTTCACCTCTTGTTTGGTGATCAGATGACTTCGTTGATGGTGTCCCAACTATGTGCTTCGTCGAGGCGGCAGTATGGGGTTTCCTGGCGGTCCTTCCTTTTTCTTTGTCTCTTTGTAGGTATACTCCACTTTTTGTTGAGGTGGTCTTGTTCTTTTCTCTAGTGATTGTTTCAGGACCGTTTTTGTATGCCGCATTCTGTCGCCTCGTATTGTGTGGCACTGGCAGAGCTGCTACGGCTTGCTTTCGGTTTTGATGTTCCTTCTGCACCATTTTGCAAGCTGACTAGGGCATTGTTACACCTCAGGCCTGCTCATGCGCCGCCTGAGCCGTCCTGGTCTTTGGACACAATGCTCTTACCTCTTCCCCTTGGTTGTTGTGGCCCCTTCGGTTCAGGATTGTTTCTCAGAGGTTTCTGCTCCTTTGGGTTCTCGTGCTAGGTTTGTTTGTTGCAGCCTTTCTTCCTTTTCTGGCGAGGTTGGGTCGGCTGTTTTTCCAGAGGGGTTCCTGGTGGTGTTGCTTGGTTGGTTTTGGCTGGGGGTGCATCTTTGTGTCCGGTTGTGGCTCTCAGCCATTGCCTGCGTACTGTGGCCTCTGTGACCCTGGACGTGCTTTGAGTGTCCCGGGGTTCCCTTCATCCCTGTTCTGGGGTTCGGGTCTTCCGGGGCATCCGTGGGGTCCTTTCAGTGTTGCCTGTTGTCTTGCTTTCGGGTTTCAGGTGCAGGATTTCTGCCTACCAGGTTTGTCCCTCTTTTGACCTTGGCTTTGGGTTGGTAGCTCTGGGGAGCCGAAGGGGCTCCCCCCAGAAAACCAGTATTGAATGTAATAAAACGCCATTTTCTGCGTGAGACCCGAAGGCTCCCCGGCAACCCTCCCTCTCTCCCTCCCCCCGGTCGGTGAGTTTTTTTCACGTGCTTTGACATCCGAACTGACAGGTGGATAGCCGGTGCAATGGGTCTGTGGCTCCCTCTTCAGTGCATTCGGGGATCAGCGCAGACAAGTGTGAAGTCATGCTCATTTGCTTGTTTTTCAATTGGGGAGTTCTGTTTAATTGTTAGTTTTCTGTAGTAGTTTTAACTTGATTAGGGGTTTGTTTTGGGGTGCCTACCTTTCTGGGTGCCCGGCCCGGTCGATGGCAGACATAAAATGCTCCACACACGTGCATTTCAGTAGGCCATTGCTCCTTGTGCCTCTCTGAGCGGGCCAGATTCTGGCTTATGGTCCCCGGTAGACCTAGAACTCCATTCACACTGATGCCAAAGTCTAATAATACTGTATACATATCAACCTGGATAGCTCCGGGAAGTCTCCAGGTCTCGCCCAGAAAATGGCGTTTCATTACATTCAACACTGTTTTCTTTTCGTTTTCAACACTCACTGTCAATTCCATCGTACACTCTCAATGTTTATTTATTCGAAGCTCTTGAGGTAGGACACTGTCACTCCTGACCCCTTCCTTTTATTCCTTCCCTGTGCCTTGGATTTCCGCGAGTTAGGGAAATTGTTGTTGTGTTAGTACTACCATTTGGTGGTGACGACCAGGTGGGCCAAGCAGTAGTTACCACATTTTCCAGCTAGAGTACATACGCTTTAAAAGCCCTTTCAATAAGTGTATGAAAAGATGTACCAAAATAGTTTTTTCCACTAAATATTCTTGTATAATAGAGGTATATCTTTAGTGGAAATGCACATTATGCAGTGGCAAATATTGTAACTAGAATGCTGTTTGTCAGTATGTGATACCAAATAGAGCTTAAAAGGAAATTAGTGTATTTTAATGCTAAAAGCTATTTTGGGTTGGATTCAGTGTCTCCGAGTACCAGTTTTACCTATTATGGGGGACAGTTTGAAAAGATCCTTGCTGTGCAGAGATCTTCTGCACAGTTAGCCTACACAGAACATTATATTGTTTGTGTGACTAGTACAGTCACAGTGTCCAGCTTAGAAGGAATATTGAGGCCTTTCAAAGCAATCTACATGAACACCATAAATGGTCAAACTATTGACAAATGCTATTTAATATTGAAAATGTAAGACCTTGCATTTATAGTATAAGAATGCACCATGCAGCAGATTGATGAACAAAAGGACCAAGGAATTTTAATCTACCAATCACTGAAAGTTGCACAACAAGTGGGAGCTAAAGTAAAACAAAAAAAAAAGCCAATCAAACCCTAGGATTAGCCCACCGAATCTTTGATTCCAAAGAAAAAATGGCTAATGTAATGCATACAAGGGGTAACTAGCTTCAAGCTCAACAAACCAGAATGTAGAACAGAAAAGAAGATGCCTTTTCACCCATAGTTATAAGCCATATCAGTTCAAAATCCAGCCGGAAAAAATCCTCAAGTACAATGGGGTGGGGTGGGGGGGGGGGAACGTTCGACAAGCCACTGACTTTTTATCTCTGTTGAGACCATTGGAGAGATGGTGGCCTTTGGGTAAATGAATAATACAGTACACTGTCTGATTTTTGTCTGACATAGAGAACAGGGTTAATGATATTGTTGATGAAAATTAACCAACAGATATTATTTTAGAAGAGGAAGGAGATGAAGAGAGAGCACCTGTAGCAGCAGGTGTTAATATGGATGTTCGCACACCAGCGAACTCTCCCAGCATCATGCAGAAGCAGGATGCAGCCCCCTGCATGCAAGAGAGCAGCTCCTCAGGTATTGTCTTAAATATAGTGAATACATGAACTCTTCCTTATTTGTGTCCCTTAGAGCAGGTATGTCAAACTGAGGGTGCCTCGAGGGCCATATTGGTCACATTTGTGATGTCATGAGGGCCTCACGTGACAACTAATTGAAGTCATTTAATAACAATTATTGCAGAATATTTTTATTATTTAGACACATACAGGGTGCAAAAAAATGGTTTAGCAGCTAGCCACATTCATGAATGCAAAGTAATGAAGTAGTTTAACAAGAGAAAAAAACTAAATTTTAAATGGCAACATAGACTTCTATGCAACAGCAACAAATACATTGTACAAAAATTACAACAGTTCAAAATGAACATTTATTTTCAAAATTTAGGACAGCTTAAAAATTAATGTCATGTCTATTTTCAGAAGTATTAACTCGCTTGCCTCGCTTGTTTGTGGGTCGACTTCCTTTTCCACTTACTATTTCTGTGTCACTATCACTGCTGTCTTCACTGAGGTGACTGACGACGACGTCGTCAGTCTCCGTTGTCTCACTCATCTCTGCAGCCGCCACTGCCGCCATCGTCACTACAGGTTCCTTTACCAGCTTGGGCCATGGCTGCAACACAACTGATTGGAGGCTGTTGTGTCTTTTGTGAAGCCCCTTGTAGCGTCTGTATGGTTTTTGCCATTTCTGCTACCTGTCCTTGCAAGGCTGCCAACTTTCCTTCAAGTGTTGTCTCAGCCAGTGTTGTGTTGTCAAGAGCATTGCTGGTACTGTCACCACTATGGAATGGGTCATCAGTACCAGAGCTGGCATCAGTATGCACTTGTTGAGTCGCAGGCACTTGCCTCCTTGTGCCAAAGGAGGCTGGTCATTTGGTAGAGTCTGGGTGCCAAATGGTTACTTACTCCTTAACACATCGCTCGGCTGGTCGGCCGAGCGGACAGCACGCTGGACTTGTGATCCTGTGGTCCTGGGTTCGATCCCAGGCGCCGGCGAGAAACATTGGGCAGAGTTTCTTTCACCCTATGCCCCTGTTACCTAGCAGTAAAATAGGAACCTGGGTGTTAGTCAGCTGTCACGGGCTGCTTCCTGGGGGTGGAGGCCTGGTCGAGGACCGGGCCGCGGGGACACTAAAAAAAAGCCCCGAAATCATCTCAAGATAACCTCAAGATAACATCTGGAACACTTCAGTGGCAGTTTCAGGTTGGACAGAGGCACAGTTTCAGGTTGGTTTCTCTGATGCTGTTACCATTCCCTGGAGTTCTTGGTCCAGCTTTCTTTGGTCTCTACTTCTTCTTATGTAAACAGTCCTTCAGTGCATGAGGACTGGAACAGAGCACACACTTGGGTGTGCATCAGCAGTGCTTGGCTATGTGCCCACTTCCACAGCAGTCGTGACACTCCACAGGGTCTGGCTGCCACACCCTGAACTTGCTGGGGCGCTCATACAACCTGGCAAACCAATGCTGGTCAGGTGGTGGTTCAGACTTGTTCCAGACTGATTATTTTATTGATAGGTTTATCAGTCTTGCTCAGTCTCCTTGCCCTGTGTACTCCATCTAATTCATAGACCCAGTCTAGTGGATACTCTTGATGGTAGCTATAGACTAGATATTCATTCCATTTTCTTGTTTCATGACATATGATCTTGAAGGGAGAGCTTTACACCACCTATTTTCCCCTTGCAGAAGATCATCCACAACATATGGGGGGTTGACATGTGGATGTAGCAGGTCTACATAGCCAGGTGTGTACCTCTGGCTCAGCTTCTTGCTCCAAACAATCTTGTCATCTACAGTCGGGCCTTTAGGGAAGGCCAAACTTGTATACTCGCTCTTTGGTGCTAGTGGTGCTCGTCCACCCTGTTATTCACCAAGCTTTTGTTTCCCTTGTTTCCTTTTCTGGTTTTTAGTTGACACCTTCACAAATCCATCACTGTGTGTTGGGATGAGAGAGTCACTGGTTATGTTGGTGGAGAGCCCTGATGGTCCAGCAGCTACCTCCCCCATACTTGGTTCTTCAGGCGACATTCTTTGAAGTAATTTTGCCTGATTCCTGGTTAATACCATTTATAATCATTTGATGATTAGCATGACAAATGGCAGACCAGGCAGCATGCCTTTTAACAGTCATCAGTGCCATCAGTCACAGACCTGCTTTGAGGGGGAGAATGCTCTCAGTGGGTCCAAGTAGGCCTTAACAGATGAAATTTAAGTATGCAAGAGGAGAATAGTCCAGGTTCTGGCTAATGGACCCTGGTAGGCACTCCAACTCCAAGGACTGATGGCACCAAACTAATATGGTACATGTCAGTTTGATAGCTTCAGAGAGCCTCCGGGGCTCGCCTGCAAAATGGTGTTTCATTGCATTCAATGCTGGTTTTTTTATTTATCTTTCTGGTCAATAACTTAAAAATTTTATTTTGACTATCTTCACACTATAGAGCTTTCTGTGGAGAGCCCCTTCGGCTTCCCAGAGCTATACCGCGCTGATGTGTATATATTAGACCGTGGCAACAGTCAATTGAAGGAGTTCTAGGCCTACTGGGAACCAGAGCCAGAACCTGGCCCCCTCAAGAGAGGCACGAGGAGCAATGGCCTAAAGACACCCCCATGTAATTGGAAGCAGTCTTTGCCATCTACCAGGTCAGGCACCCAGAAAGGTAGGCATTCCAAAACAAACTACTGCTGATTAATTGCAAACCGAATGCCAAACTAGCAACAGAACTCTCCAATCAAAACCAAGGAAACCAGTATGACGTCACCACAAACACCGCGCATCCGTCTGCGCAAACCCCCCCCCCCCTCCCTGGGAGGGGGACGGAAGGGTCCCAGACCTCCGTGCCGGCAACTCTCCCCAGTTCACAGGCTGTTACGAGGGCGAACGATCGATCGACTCTGGCTCCATCCTTTGAGCAGTGCTGCAGTGCGGTGGTGGTGGTCATTTTTGGTATCGTGCGAGCAAGGAGTAACACTAGAGTACTGGGGCTGCATGCACCTAGGGCCGCCTTCCCTAAGTGCCTTGCAAGTACTGTACTGCCCTTGCAGCTTCAGGGTTATTTTCCCTGAGCTGTTCGGGAACTATCTCCACGTGGTTCTATTGCTGCTCGGTGATTGCCCGCTCTTGGGGCTTCTGCTGGGGTGGTTCTTGCTCCTGTTTTCCCTTGGGTAGGAGGTAGTTTCGTCGCTGGCAGGGGCGCGAGGTACTGTGCAGCTGTCTGATATATGCATAGCAACTGGTTCTCTTCACCTGGAGACGTTGTGCTTTTGCGGGGTTTTTCTTTTATTTTGTTTTGTTTTGCCTGGCGGGGGTCTGCCGGGTGTGGCGGTAGGACCACTTGTATGATTTTGGTGGCCCTCTACTAGGTCCCCGTGTCTGTACACATTGCAGGAGTTCAGCTTTTAGTTTGTTTGCTTGGTAGCTGTGGGATAACTGGTTAGCAGTACCTCGCCTGGGCTTCCCTTAGCAATTAGCCTAAGGGCCCTGGAAATCCTCTTGGGGGCTTAGTGGTCCGATGGAAGAGACCCCAGAGTCCCACCTCCCCTTGTGTGAGTTTGAAGGTTGCTCTGTTCCCTTGACTCAGGGTGACACTCACCGTCTTTGTCTCCGCCATGCTGCTTGTTGGGTCAATGACACCTTTGACCCGGAGTCCTGCGAGTGGTGTTCCTTGTTTGTACTCCAATTCACCCAGTCCACTGAGATTGTTATTAGGATGCAAGCAGTTTTGACGTTGCATGCAAGGTTTAGGTTGCTGCAACGTGCAAGGTTGGTTGCCTTTCCGGATGCCCTGCAGCTGCCCCGCTTTGGTTGTAGGGACCCGGACTTGGGAGGTGTTAGTCTCCTCGACTTAGAAGCAGGTTTCATCTGCTCCCACTAGTCCTTCCCCTGTTGTGGGTTCATCCTGCTCCCCCACCCTTGCTTCCAACTCCCAAACGTCTGAGGGTTTGAGAGTCGGGGCAGGGTTTGCCTGATGGCGAGTCTTGGGTGGCTTCGGGGAATGCCCCTTCTGGATCGGCGGCGGAGGCATTCGAGCCTGTTTCTCCTGCTGGAGCCCTTGGTCCGTGCCAGCGGGCCCCCTTCATCCCAGCTTTTCCGGCGGACTCTGCTTTTTCTCCAGAGGCAGAGGGTTTGGAGGACAGCTTGGCCCCGGGTCATGACGTGGAGGTTCCTGGGGCTGGGGAGAGTTGACTTGGGGTGCTTGGGCCCCGTTTGACCCTGCTTGGGTGTTGGTACCCTCGGTGCAGGGGTTTGTTGTTACAGGGGGAGGGGTTTTTCTATCCCCCCCTCCCTGTACGAGTTTGATATGGGTGCGACCCCTCCCCAGGTTCGGTTCTGGGTTCCCTTGGGTTCCTCGGTTCCCTCCTTCCAGAGGTTTTTGGCTTCCCGCATTATGTCAAAGGTGGTGTGGGAAGTCCTTGCGGCTTACCTCTTGCGAGACCCGGATTACACCTCGGCAATGGATCCTCCTTCTTCGAGTTTGGCTCCTTATTTTCCTTCTGGATGCATTACAAGGTGCCGGAGTCTTCCTGGCTGGCGGACTGCCCTTTCTTTTCATTGGGGACATGGCATTCGTTCTGTCGGACCCGTGAGCTTGAATGGCGGGAAGTGTCTACGGTTGTTCAGATTTACCTGGGGGGCGAATTTGAGCACCTCAATGCGTGCTTGTTCGCCCCCGTACTTCCTCGTGATGTCGGTCAGATTCAGCTTCAAACACAGGTTCCCTCTCAGCCTCCCTGGTGGCCGAGGATTTGCACATCCGTGGGCATTTGACTTCGGTCTTGCGTTTCTTTTCTCTGCTGGCTCGGCGAGGATGTGCAGGAATTGGGATCTGGGCCCATGTCCGGTGTGTTTGCTTCAGCGGCTCGGTCGTCGGCTGCCTTGTTGAAGTTGTTTGTGCCGATTCTGAGGGAGGCAGTGTCCCTGTTCTTTGCTTCTCGTCTCGCGTGCCGTCAGGTGGTGCTCGTCCTCTTATTGGAATCGACTTGGGCCCTGGCTCTTAGATATTCTTCCCCTTTTTGTCAGTTGCTGTCTGCAGAGTTTGCAGTGGTGCATTTTCTGCAAGCGGCTTCATCTAGTTGCCGGCCTATGTCGGACTTGTTGGTTCTCTGGAGGGGCCGTGGTGGTCCTTTTTTTTTTTTTTTCTACCACAGACGTGGCCACACATTTACAATGCTAACCAGCATATATATGTGGTGGTCCTGTCTGGAAAGGTCGTGCCAAGCCCCGGGTTTCCTTCGGTCGTTGTAAGGCAGTAGTGCTAGATTCGGGGCCGGCACCACCTCTGGAGCCGTCGGCATCTGGTCGGCGCAGTGATCACTCTGAGCATCGGTCGGGCTCTCGTAGGGGTCGACAGCCCTTTCGCGGATCGCCCCGTTGACTGTGCGATAGGGGGAAGGCTCGCGCTATTTGCTCTCGCCTGGTCCCACAATTCGTGGACATTTCGGATCGTTTCCTCCGGCTTGTGGTGGCGTTGGGTCGTTCCTCCTCCTTCAGGGGGGCGGGGCTGGTAGGACAGGCTTTTTCTCCTGTGCTCTGACAGGTCATCCGGGAGTGGGTTTGCTTGGGTGTGGTCAAAACGTCAACATCTCTCAAGTGGGTTTCCCGCCTGTTTTCAGTTCCGAAACGGGACTGTGCGGATCTACGATTCATACTGGACTTGTCTCGTCTGAATCCCTGGGTCTTTTGCCCCTCTTTTCGGATGACCACTCTGTCTCAAGTCTGGCTGCTTTTGGCGCCGGGTGCCTGGATGGTGTGTCTGGACCTCCGGGACATGTATTGGCATGTCCCAATTCATCCGGGGTTCAGGGACTGGCTCGGTTTTGTCATGGGGCGACAAGCTTACTGCTTTCGTTGCCTTCCATTTGGCTTGAATCTGGCACCTCGAGTGTTCACACACCTTACCCGGGTCGTGGTGGCCTGGTTGCATCTGTTAGGGGTTCGGGTTCTGGCTTACCTCGACGACTGGCTGGTGTGGTCTCCCAGCTACTTTGTGTGACTGCTTGCCAGGGATTTGTTTTTTTCCCAGCTCGCTAGGTTTGGGTTCTTGGAGAACTGGAGGAAGTCCCATTTGGTTCCCTCACAGGTTCGAACTTGGCTGGGTCTTGTGTGGGTTTCTCGGACTGCTTCCTTGTGTCTCCCTCTTGCGATGCTGTTACGGCTGCGGTCCCACCTCCGGTTGTTTTTGGAGGGCATCCGGGTCACACGTCGGTTGTTCGAGCAGCTGTGCGGGAGCCTGAACTTTGCCGTGATGGTCTACCCATCGGGTCGGATCTGGCTTCGGAGGATGTTCTGGTTTCTGCGGGGTCGTCCCTTCCGCCGCGCTTGCAATTGATGGGTTTGAATCCCGGGAGCCTTGCATAGGCTGCTGCGTCGCCGGCTTCCTCTGCGGGTTTTTTGGGGTTCTGTGCCATGGCGCCTCACCGAGCCCTCGCTCGATGTGTTCACGGATGCCTCATCTCTCGGCTGGGGTTTTGTGACAAGTGCTCACCAGGCTGGCTAGGGTCGGTGGGGTCTGTTCTTCCGTCGAGCTCATAGCTCGGCTCGAGAGTTTGCGGCGGTGTGGCATTCGCTTCAGAGGATTCGGGTCGCTCAAGGAGCAACGATCCGGCTCCATTCCGACTGCTCCCCGGTGGTTCGTTACTTGAACCATGGGGGTTCGATGTGGTCATGGGTTCTTTGGGGCTGGTCGCTTCGGGTGACTCGTCTGCCGAGTTCTCGGGATTTGGCTCTACTGGCGGTTTATGTTCAGAGGGTGTCAAAAGTCTTGGCGGACAGCCTGTCTCGGTTCATTCCCCTTTCCACGGAATGAACAGTCGACGCCGACTCGTTCAGTTGGCTCTGCCGGACATACGGGCGCCCAGAGGTGGACTTCTTTGCATCGGCGTGGTCAAGGCGTTTTCCAGTTTATGTGGCGCCCTTCCCAGACTGCGAATCTGTCGGGGTCGATGCCTTTCGGCTGGACTGGTCGAGGTGGAGTTACCTGTACCTCTTCCCACCAGTCCGGTTGTTGCTCCGGGTCCTGGCTCGGTTGGAGACTTCCCAGGGGAGAGTAGTCCTGTTGGCTCGTTGTTGGCCGGCCCAGCCCTGGTTTCAGGAGCTTTTTGCTCAATGTCCGAACCCGAGGGTCTTCCCGCGGCTCCGCCTCTTTCAGCAGATCGGTCCGGTCCGGTACATGGCTGGTTCGATCTCCTCCACTCTTTGCATCTGGTCTTTTTGATGCGGGTGTATCACCACTTGTATGGTGATCAGGTGATCTTTGATGGTGTCCCACCTGTGAGTGTCATCTAGATGGCAGTAGGAAATTTCCTGGCGGTCCTTTCGTCATTTTTTGTCTCTACGTAGGTTGTCTTTGATTTCTAATCGGGTTGTTTTGTCCTTTCTTTCTTGGTTGTTCCAGGACTGTCATCTTATGCCAAATACTGTCGACTCATATCGTGCAGCACTGGCGGAGCTGATGCAACTTGCTTCCAGGGTGGATGTCATTTCCGCTCCATTCCGCAAGTTTTCTTGGGCGTTTTTTTCACCTCCGGTGTGCTCATGCGCCGCCTAAGCCGTCCTGGTCGTTGGACTGGGTGCTCTCTTTTCTCTCTCCTCCTCGGTTTGTGGTGACCCCCTCGGTTCAGGATTGTTTTTCTAAGGCTCTTTTTCTTGTTGGCATTGGCCTTTGTGGGTCGGGTCGGGTAGCTTCATGCTCTCCTCCGGCGAAAGAGTTTCTGCTCTTTCGGTCCTGGTGGTCGTTTCATTCGTTTGCAGCCTTCTCCCTCTATTTTGGTGAAGAATGAGTCTGCTCCTTTCTGAAGGGGTCCTTGGGTTGTTGATGCTTGGTTGGTTCGGTCGGAGGTGCATCATGTTTTGTGTCCGGTTGTGGCTCTTCACTGTTATCTGCGCGACATGGCCTCTGTAGCAGGGGACGCACTTTGGGTGGACCCCGTTTCCCTTCTTCCCTGTTCCAGGGTGCGTGTCTACCAGGTCGTCTGCAGGATTATTCGGTCCAGCCAGCCTGCGGTCTATCCTCGTGCCCATGACGTTCGTAAGTTCGTGGCTTTGGATGCTGTTTTTGGGAATATGTCCTGGGCTGACATTTGGGCATGGGGCTTTTGGAGGTTGAACAGGGTCCTGGCCGCAAGGTATCTTGTTAATGTTTCTGGCCCTTCTCGGGCGTGTGTAGCCTTGGGTTGCAGGTTGCAGCCATTTGTCTCGACTTCAAGTTGAGGAGCGAGTAACGACCACCTTCCGGGTAATTCCCTCTTTTCTTTTTCTTTGGTTAGGTAACTCCGGGGAGCCGAAGGGCTCTCCACAGAAAACTAGCGTTGAATGTAATGAAACGCCATTTTCTGGGTGAGACCCGGAGGCTCCCCGTCATCCCTCCCTCCCTCCATTCGGCTTTTTTTTTTTTTTTTTTTTTTTTTTTTTTTTTTTTTTTTTTTTTTTTTTTGCGTTTTTGATACTCAGCCTCTGAACTGGGAAGAGTTGCCAGTATGGAGGTCTGGGACCCCCTCCGTCCCCCTCCCGGGGAGGGGGGGTTGCGCAGACGGATGCACAGCGTTTGTGGTGACGTCATACGGGTTTTCTTGTTTTGAATGGAGAGTTCTGTTGCTAGTTCAGCTTTCGGTTTGCAATTAATCAATCAGCAGTAATTTGTTTTGGAATTCCTACCTTTCTGGGTGCCTGACCTGGTAGATGGCAGATAAAGACTGCTTCCAATTACACGAGGGTGTCTTTAGGCCATTGCTCCTCGTGCGTCTCTTGAGGGGGGGGGCCAGGTTCTGGCTCTGGTACCTGGTAGGCCTAGAACTCCTTCGATTAACTGTTGCCACGGTCTAATATATACACATCAGCCCAGTATAACTCCGGGGAGCTTCCGGGTCTCGCCCTAAAATGGCGTTTCATTTCATTCAACGCTGTTTTTTTTTTGTTTTTTTTTTTTTAATGTTGTCACTGTAGGTCTCCTTGGTGGCTGCATTTAGAACTAATTTTATTCGTTGTTGGGTATGGGTAGGAGTCTTCGACTCGAAACTACCTTCATGAAGAGTGTTAATGATAGGCTCAAAAATTATATGATGTACTGGTATTGTGTATCATGGGTCCTGTAAAATGGTGGTCTACATCCTCGACTCTCAATTGAGAATCCTGGCTTCAGTCCCAGGGAAGGGGACAGAACTGGTTGAGCACACTTACTTTTGCCTAGTGCCTCTAGTCACTTGGCAGTTAATATGTACCTGTATTCAGAAGTCAGGCAACTGTTGAGTGTATGGCTTCTCTGAAGATCAGAGAAGTCATTTTCCTTTCTTTCATATGTGTGGTTTGGATTATTTATTTTCAGACACTTTATTGTAACTTATTCTGTGTGTGTAGATGTATAGGCCTTCATAAGAGGCTATGAAATTATAGTACTGTACAATATATGGTTTATGCAAATAGGGTAAGTGGTAAGCTGGTGACCGTGATATTTCTTGTAGTAGCCCCTGACCTCTTTTATTTATAACATCCTCTTCATTATTTTTTGTGTTTTGAATGCTACACTTGTTACCATTGTGATTTGCTAATATTTTTTCCATATAACCATATAAAACATTAAACCTTTACGTATTGTGTTTCGTACTAACCGTAGACCGTAATAGTGATGCATCCCTTCAGGTTCCATGACAGGGAGTGTGTGCACCACGTATGAGAAGACAGGATCACTTCCCACCTCTCCCCTCAAGGCCAGCATCAACCAACACATCAACATTGATACAGTGGATTCTAAACATAACTCTAAGGAGATCAGTAGTGGTAGGCAGAGAGCACCTATTTTGATATAATATTGGTACTGTACTGTAGTTTGCATGTGCTACTAATATGCTATTTCTTAATTCTTTGGTGGTGTTGATAAAGAAGTGTTTTATGTTTATTTAATATTCAGTTTTAAATATATAAACCGAGTTAATATTCGAGATGAGTAATTAAAAAAATTTTATGCTGATCATCACTACAGTCCTCAAAATCTGTATTTTGCCACACTGCCAATGAGTGTGCTGAGTTAGGATAGCCATTTCTGGTAATAAGGAACTAAACTACATTCTGTTAACTTAATGATTTCTCCTTCTATCCATCATTTCCCAGAGCTACATTAAAGTGCCAATAGAAAATCTCCTCATCTAAATACTTCTTGTGGTCAAATATGTTAAGGCTGTGCACGGTGGATTTACACATAAACTTTCCAACTTGTACTTCAGAAATGATAGTACTTGTATGAACTATTGGTCGAATGTTCAAAAATGAACTGTTGGACCACAAGTTTTTTTTGTACTATTGGAACACTCCAAATGGTATGCCAAAATGTGCTGTTCAAGACCTAGGAAAGTACAGTATAGGTTTAGATTTTGCTGCTTCTACCATCTATAAAATCAATAGTACATTATTTTTCATTTTACAACTCTTCATTTTGTACCTCCCATCAGTAATTGTTTTAACCACTGTGCTGCGCCAACCGAGAAAACTCAGTGGGAACTGCACCAACCGAGAAAACACCTTTTGAATATTTCGTACCCATTCAAAACGTGTGCGCGGTAGGGTGTGTACGAAATAGACTCTTGGGACCTCCAGTGAGAGGCAGCCATCTTGGATAAAAATCCCAGAATGTCCTAGGGCTGCTGGCTGGGTTAGTATTGAGTGAGCAACCATAGGTGGCGCACGTGCCTCTGGCTCCTAAACACCTATCTGACACGGTGTTGAAAAATCGTTCTCTGTTAGTGAAATTCGGACCTTATTGTTTGAAAAACATAAGGGTCATGATATTGATGAAGCTAGGCACAATAAGGACCTAACACAAGGATCGGATGCAAGTGATACAGCACCGATGAGGATGATGCAGCGAGTGAGCTTATCCAGTAGTAGCGGAGCGCCACCCATGCTCACCCGTGTTATCTCCAATTTTTATAGATGATACATAGATGAACCATTTTCTGGGTTCAGTGATAATACATCTGTAGATCTTTTCAAGAATAGCTGAATCTCTTCCAGAATAGCTGAATCTCTTCCAGAATGTATGAATCTTCCAGAATACCTGAACCTTATCCAGAATACTTGAATCTCTTTGAGTACCTTACAAAGTGATCTTTTGAAGACTACCTTACAAATTGATCTTTTCCTATAATCTTTTCAAGACTACCTTACACTTCACAAGCTTGGCTACATACCACCTACAGGTACTAAAGGGTGTATGTGAGTGCATTATTTGCAAGCACACCAAACAAAGAAACAGGAAGTGAAAATCTGTGTGTACCTGATGCAACGAGAGTAAAGTTGCGCTGTGTACCATGGACTGCTTAATTGATTATCACTCACTTTTGAAGTACTCAGCGTGTAATATAATGTGTTACTGTGTAAATGGTGTGTGAAACTGTACATATTGTAATTTTAGTGAATTGTGAACAACTAATATTGCGACAATAAACATTTATTGTGGACTATAACCGATACATGTACTGTATCATAATTCCATGGAACATTATGAACGTTCTACTGTATACATATTGTAAAAGACAAATATGCATCATATACGATAAAAAAAAAATAGAACCACATTGGAAATACATAGAACAAATAATTGAAAATATATTTGTGGCAACTCGCAGAGCTTGAATGGCCCATGTGACTGCCTCTGGAAGCTTCACGCATGGGTGCATAGCAAACATGCCCCCTTCTCCACGTCCCACAGCAAAAGTGGATTTTTTTTTTTTTTTTTTTTACATGTACATGTTCAGGGAAAGGAACTTATCATTTTACAAAGATGAAAAAAAATTGCGAACACTGGATTTTCAGCGCACAGGGGGAATGTCAAAATAAACGAAGCGCATCACAGTGGTTAAGTACAATAATTTATGGATGATAGGTTGCTATTTTCAGATCAGACTTACATTATTAAAATCATCATTATTACACACACTTCCCACAGCAGCCTGAAGAGAAAAAATTGGGAAATACAAATCTGACCAGCGAAGTGCCAATTTACTTACCATTTAATAATGTTTAAACCCAAAATAATTTCATAGAACCCAAATGAAGTTGCTCCACTATCTTACTTTGCTTCATCCTTTCCTTGGATTTTATCCTGCATGTTATTAAAACTTTGTAGTCTTTTCTGTGGGGATCCTCATCGGCTCCCTGAAGCTATCAGAACTGACATGTGCTATATTAGTTTGGGGTCGTCGGTCCCAGAAGTTCTTATGCCTACTGGGAACCTCGAGCCAGAACCTGGTCCCCACAGAGAGGCGCAGGGAGCAATGGCCTATGAGCACTTTACATTTAAAGTACATATGCCATAAATGCCATCGACCGGGGAAGGACCCCAGAAAGGTAGGTGAATCAAAACAGACCACTGTCTGGTTAACCTGTGCAATCTTCATCCCAAAAGATCAAAATAGCTCCTAGAAAGAAACTAAACAAGCAACCCCTTCTTGCGACTAGTACTTCAGCTCATTAGCCCCTTTCTCCCCGTAGGGTGGGAGCCGACAGACCACCACTCTAGTTCTTGAACAGTTGTGCTGGCAGTCAGTGCGATCACCTCTGGTCTCAAGTTCCTGTTCTGGATTTTGCCCTGTGCGGCTGTACCAGCAGAGTGTGTGTGTGGGTGGGTGGGTGGGGTGGGGGGGGCCAGGTGTCTTCTCTGTTATCTTCTCTGGAGCATTTGGGAATCACTTTCCGTTAGAGGACTTCCTCGCTTCTGGTTGTGTTTGCCCTTAGGATATGTCGGGGGTCTTGGGCTTTCCTTCTTGCCCCGGGTAGGGGAGTGTTATTGGCTGGGTGTGGGCGCACCCAGCCAATAACACTCAGCCTGTCTTACTACAACGCGATAGCCGATGCTTCTCTCTGGCTGCCAGTTTGTTTGTCGTGTTTCTTCGGAGGCTTTTAGGTTTCCTTTTCCTGTGTTTTTGGCTTTTGTGGACAGATATCTGCCTAGCCTCTTATTAGACTAGCCTAGTTAGTGATGGTGGTCCCCCTCATTTGCCCCCCGAGGTTTCGCTGCTGCTACTGGTAGTCATTTTGCCTGCTACTAGAAAGGGATTCTGCTGGCTTAGCTGGCCCCAGTGCCTGGGCTTTTTGAAGGGCTAATTTGCCCTACAGGCCCTGGGAAACCCCCTGTGGGCTCGGTCATACAATGGCTATGTCTTCCGAGCCCACTCTTGCCTTGTGCAACGTCGAAGGTTGTTCGTTGCCCCCTGCCTCGGAAATGATCATCTGTACTACCTCTTGTCATGCTGCCTGTTAGGTCGGGGACACCACCAACACGGAGCCTTGCGGGCCTTGTTCCGCACTTGTACTACACTTTCCTCATTCCTTGTCTGTTGATCTCAAGGATCAGGCAGTGGCTGTTGCATGCTTGATTCTCATTACTGCAACAAGCCAGGTTGGCTGCCTGGTTGAAGACCCCGAGCTGCCCTCCTTGGGTTTTAGGGACCAGGAGTTGGGGGCGTTGGTTGCTTCGACCTTGGTTCCTTCCGCATCCCTGCTTCCTTCCCAGGTAGGCATGGTTCGCCCTTCTCCTTCCCCTCCCCTCCCCTTTTCCCTGCTTCTGGCTTCTGTATGTCTGAGGGGTTCGGAGTCGGGGCGAGGTTTCGCTCAGGATGAGTCTTGGGTGGCTTCGGGGGATGCCCCTTCCAATTCGGGCGCTGAGATGGTCGAGCCTAATTTTCCCGCCAAGACTTCTGGATCAACCCAGCAGCTTCCCTTCTTGGAAGCTTTTTCCCTAGATGCCTTCTTTTCTTCAGGGGTGGTGGGCTTGGAAGAGGGCTCTGCCCCCAGGGCCTGTGTCAGGGGTTCCCGGGGCTCGGGGGGAGTCTGCTGGGAGGGCTTGGGTCCCCCATGCCTTCTGGGCAGGGGTTGTTGCTGCAGGGGAGGTTGTTATCCCTGCAAGTTGCCGCAAGGGAGGTTTATCAAGTCTAACCAGCCTGCAGTCTACCCTAATGCCCATGATGTTAGAAAGTGTGCTGTTCTCGCGGTGGTTTTTAGCGACACGTATTGGGTCAACATTTGGGTGCGAGGGTTTTGGTGTTTACTAGTTGTGTTTTGCGGGGGTTGAGCTTTGCTCTTTCGGCCCGCCTCTCAACTGTCAATCAACTGTTTACTAACTACTATTTTTTTTTTTTTTTTTTCCACACCACACACACACACCCCAGGAAGCAGCCCGTGACAGCTGACTAACTCCCAGGTACCTATTTACTGCTAGGTAACAGGGGCACTTAGGGTGAAAGAAACTTTGCCCATTTGTTTCTGCCTCGTGCGGGAATCGAACCCGCGCCACAGAATTACGAGTCCTGCGTGCTATCCACCAGGCTACGAGGCCCCTAATGATGAACAGTCCTAGCCGCCAGATATCTCATGCAAGTTCCTGTTCCTTCCCGGCCATGTGTTGCTTTAGGGCTTCTGTCCCGGCCGTCTATCTCTTCCTTGGCTCGAGACCTGCAGTGCTACCTCCTCCCAGGTAAGTTCTTTCTTTTACTTATCTTTGGGTAGTTAGCTTCAGGGAGCCGATGGGGCTTCCCACAGAAATCCAGCGTTGACTGTAATGAAATGCCATTTTCTGGGTGAGCTCCAGAGGTTCCCTGACACCTTCTCTCTCGTGGGTCAGCAGTTTTTCATCATTCAAGAATTTGGAGTGGTGGGCTGCCGGCTCCAGCCGGGTCCCCCTCGCTAACAACCTGAAGTGTAAGTCACATGAAGGGTGGCTTGTTTGGTTTCTTTCTATTGGGAGTTATTTTGATCTTTTGGGATAAAGATTGCATCTGTTAACC